TATATAAAAGGTGAATATGGGCCCATTCACCTGTCATGTGAACCACTTATAGATGCATATATAAGATGGTTACATGTATGTTTATTGTCAACCTGTAGTTTGACATTTGAAATTGTCTTTCTCAATTAAGAGCATAATTTTCAGATTATGAAATCAAGATAGTTCATCTTGATGATGCTGGTTTGTATCCAAGCTAGTTTAGCATTAAATACCTCATATTAATGGCTAAACTATTGCTTATGAGAACAAAGTCTCATGTATTGGTCTAAGATTTTTTAAATTACATACAACAGCACTTGTATGCATCAGACCAACAAAATATGATAAGTCCTCCCCTCTCAATTGGTTTAGGATCAGAAACCAAATATTTTTATTATCTAATAACTTTTGATGTGTGGTATATGATTAATTTTTCTACTACAATGCACAAAGATATATTTTCCAAAGAAGATTGGAGATATGAGTTAGTTTTTCTAACATTTGGGGGATGAAATAAACAGCTGAAAAATATGCTATATAAATCGAATTATCATTAATATGATCCTCGCCTAGAAGATAATTCAAGTCAAATGCCAGAAGTATTTGTTGATCCAAAATTATATACCATATTTCAGCTGCAAATGCTCCTATTAAAATTAAAATCCCTGAAGGGTAAAGTTTACTGTACGCATGAAGCGTAGTAAATCGATCGGTTCAAAAAGTAACAATCCTTGAAAAGGATGGGAGCAAATGATCACAATGAGGAGGAAATGAGCTCTAGAAGAGCCCACGACATAACATTTTATGAAACTCCAGAAGAAGTTCAGGTACCTGAAAATAAAAAAAGTGATAAGATCTCAATAAGTTATGTTGCTTAGGAACCGATACAAAATGATCGTCGGCGATATATTTGATACAATATAGTACACAATATTATAAATAATTGTGAGGATCGGACCTGTAGTCCAGACACCTGAAGATGTCATGCCATCTAAATGCAAGTCATAACCTCTATGACTCATTTGATTAAGTCAAAATGAAGATCCCTGAAGGATTTAAAATGCTTGAAGCATATAATTCAAAGTCTCGAGAAATGTACTCAACCAAATTACAAAAATCTTTGTATGAATTAAAACAATCAGGGCGCATATGGTATAATCGCCTCACTAAATTGATGAATGAAGGTTATATAAATGATGGCATTTGTCCATGCATTTTTACAAAGAAAACAACATCAAAGTTTGTTGTACGTGATGTTTATGTTAATGATATAAATCTCACAGGAACTCCAAAAGAGCTCCAAAGGGAAAAACTTTGTCTTAGTCTGCAAATTGAATATTTAGCAGACGGAATCTTTATCCATCAATCTATCTATACAGAAAATATCTTAAAATGCTTTTACATGGACAAAGTGCACCAATTAAGTACACCAAATGGGTGTTCGATCACTTGAAGTGAATAAGGATCCGTTCTGACCTCCAGAAGAGGATGAGGAACTCCTTGGTCCTAAAATACTCTATCTCAGTGCAATTGGTGCACTTATGTATCTTGCTAATGCTAACAAAGGTTGGCGCATATCATATTGGTTATGCAGATGCAGGTTATTTATCCGATCCCCATAAAGTTCGATCTCAAATCGGGTATGTGTTTATATGTGGAGGTATTGTCATATCATGACGCTTCACAAAACAATCTATTGCTGCTACTTCTTCAAATCATGCTGAGATAATAGTTATTCATGAAGCAAGTAGGGAATGCATATGGTTGAGATTAGTGATTCATTTTATTCGAGAAAAATATGGGTTGGAATGTGATAAAAGACCCATAATTTTATACGAAGATAATGTTGCATGCATAGCCCAATTGAAGGGAGGATTTATAAAAGGAGATAGAACGAAGCACATTTCACCAAAATTATTCTACACACACGATCTTCAGAAAAATAGTGATATTGATGTGCAACAAATCCGTTCAAGTGACAATCCGACAGATTTATTCACTAAATCTTTGCCAACTTCAACTTTTAAGAAGATGGTATACAAGATTGGAATGCGGAGACTCAAATATTTGAAACAAAGTTTTCATCAGGGGGAGTAAAATATGCGATGTACTCTTTTTTCCTTACTAAGGTTTTTTCCCATAGGGTTTTCCTTATAAGGTTTTTAATGAGGCAGCTAGAAATGCGTATTACTAAATATGTATACTCTTTTTCCTTCACTAGGATTTTCCCACTGGATTTTTCCTAGTAAGGTTTTAACGAGGCACAATACCTTTTAATGAACATCCGGAGGGGGGGAGGGGGTGTTATGAAAATAATTATTGTGGATGTCCATTTATTACCCCACTATAGATAATCTTCCTGAAGAAGATTATCCATTTAGTACTCTATTGAAATTTATCTACAAGCAGCTGATGCAGGCAGGTTGCAAGCAGCTCAATGAAATAATTTGTAGCAGCTTCTTATTAAACAGGCAGGTTTCAAGCAGCTCATGCAGACAGCTTACAAGCAGCTAAAGAAAAGCCTTGCAGCTGCTTCCTGAAAAGCCTCGCAACTGCTTCTTTTCTTCTATAAATAGAGAAGTTTTCAGTTCATTATGTACAACAATTTAAAGTTGAATAAAAATATCAATCTCCAAGCACGGTAGAAACAGGTTATATATTTACCCCTATTTTCGATATTATTACATTAATTGCCATCACACAATTTAGTAAATAAAGGGAACTTTTGAGGCATTTTCAAAGCCTACTTTTTTCTCCACAAATGCATATTTAAAAAACGTGGGACCCACAATTTAGTGAACAAAAGAAATTTTGGGGAATTTTCGACAGATGCATAGTATCTAAACGTGGGACCCATTTGAATACATATTTACCCGAGACTTCACCACATATGCAAAGTACAAATTGTCATACCACTGTTCCTTAAAAGTTGCATATGTTTATAAGCACATAAATACATAATACAAATACTTCAACCAAATCTTAGATTTTCTAAATCAAGTATATTTGGCAGCTCATTTATTTCAAGCACAACAATTGAAAAGGAAATTGATTTTGAATATAATTAAGTATATAAATTTTATACAATTAGGACATAATAGATAACTAATTGCTGAGTTTGAATAGCAAATATGTTAAATCAATAATTAAGTTTGAATAAATAAAATTGACAAGTTCAAATGTAACATAATAAATTCACTAAATAAATAAAAATATAGCAGAATAAATCCACTAAATAAAAGAATATAGCAGAAAAAATTCATTAAATAAAGAATAATTTTTACGTATAAATATATGCTAGGTTTAAGTTCAGCCTTTGTCAACAAGTTAATAATTAATGTTTATATTCATCTAAAACTTTAAACATTATAAATTCATGAAAGAAAGTAAATACAATACTATAACGTTTTGCAATTTAAGTAGTTTGTAATGCTTTCAAATAGTAGTACAATTATTTGGGCGTCAACTCTTTCAATACGAAGGAATGTTCATACCTTTTTTTTCTAATAAAAGTAATATTATGTAAATAAAATTTATTATAAAATTTTACATTAATTTTGCAACTTTAAAATTAGTTTCTAATTTAACTTTTATGACATTATTTCTAACCTATTAACCCTTATATTGTCATGAGTTTATTTATTTTTAAATACTAACATTTAAGCTAATTACTAATTTAGTTATTAATTTAATTTATATTTGTTATTTACCCTAAATAATGGACCAAATCACTAGAATATATATTATGGAAAAAACCACAATTTACAACATTTCAATTTAGTTACTTCTTGAGTTGCAAGTGATATGTCTATTTGCATTACTACCGTTTGAAACTGATTTGACTATCTCGTGGAAATAAGAAATGATGGAAACTTGTGTTAATATTTCGTCGAAAAATATTTCTTACACTCACTTATTATTTATAATTTTTTTAATATCATACACGAAATTTAAATATAATAACTATATCTAAAAGTTTAGTTAAAATTATTGAATTGGATGGTATATAGTGTTCAATCTCGAGAAAGTTGACTCGTTAAGGATATTCAAGTAGTAGATATTTAATAGCTAAGCAGTTAAATATTTTGAAAATTTCCCTTAATACTTGAGAATATTGATTAAAAATTAAAATTACTTACAGGGTTATTCTATGAAAATACCAGTTAAAATATTACTATAATATTAGAATATTCTTCTTTCCTAACAGTTTGAAATTGCAATGTTGGGCTTTCCGCTAATTTTTAAATGTGAGAGAATCCTTTACTTTGGGGGTTACTTGGATTTTAAGGACAAAAGAGGAATAAATCATCATAGGCAAACTACGTCGCTCTTTCTTGAAGTTACCTCAAGTATTGTTTGGAGGATACATGAATTAGTTGATACATCAATTGTCGTTTTTGCTTTAAATGTTGGAATTCTTTTTAATTGCTTTGGCAATATGTTATTTAGATTATACTGTGACTTATTTTTTCTCAGTTGCGGTTACTCTAAACTAAAAAAAAAGTATGTTATAAATTGAGACAAAGTACTAGTATTTAATCAGACATTTTATTTTCAACCTTAGGGCAAGTCGATGAGTCCATAAAAGGACAAGAAAATATGCCTCAACGGCACACTAACGAGAAGCAACAATCATAAAATTCGAGGAACCTTCAGCCCAACAACAACAATAAACCCAATGAATTCCCACCGGTGACGCTTTAGCCCAACAAATAGCGTAAAAAGAAAGGTACATGACGAGGTATGCATATCAAACTAAGATAAAAATCTCTACAAAAATACCTAAAGAAAATAGAATCCTGTTGTGAAGAAACAATAGTTAAGATCTCCAGAGAATTAGATAGTGAAATATGAACAATGTAATATTGTTGTATTCTACCACTTAGGGGTCGTTTGGTAGGGTGTATAAGAATAGTGCGATTAGTAATGCAAACATTAGTCATGCAAATATTATTTCTTATCTATTGTTTGGTGTGGTGTATTAAAATTATAATGCATTGCATAATTTTTAAGAAAAATAATTGTTTACAAAAATGCCCTTCATATTCTCAAGCTTTAAGGGACTTTAAGAATAATCTTATCTTTAACCAACCTAATACATGCATTAGTAGCCTTGGTATTACTAATGCCATGGTTTTCTATGCATTACTTATACATAGGATAATACCAAGTATGATGTATAACTAATACTGTATTAGTTATACACAGGTTGAAAAAATGTACCAAACAAGGTATTAGTAATGCATAAAGCTAATGCTTGCATTATTTTTTCTAATACCTCCTACCAAACCACCCCTTAGTAGCATGTACTTATCTCAGCATGTACAAATCTTGAGATTTGAATACATTCATTAAGTATACTGGTGAAAACCAGCTATGGTCAACTCTGTATAATATAACCCAAAAGCAATCCAAGTGACCGTCATTCAGCACCTGATAGAGGCCGTCCTGTTAAATCCATAAACAAAAAGATGATCAGAAAAAGTGAAGATTATTGCGGGATAGAGGATATATAAGCATCTTCACCTATATAGGTAACTCCCCAACCACCCCTCCAAAAGAATAAGAAATAGAGCGTGAATGCCCCCATATCTGGGCAGATTTTGTGAAGAGCAAAAGGGAAGTGCTAAAAAAGGATGTTAAAATTGCGGCTACACCATCAACTCAAGGAAAAGAGAGAATGGTGGGGATGGGGCGTTAAACTTAGGAAGAAAGAATTCTGAAACTGAAAATAAATACCTCAATAGGGGCCTAGGTGGCTCTAACAACTTATCAGTACCATCTTGCACAATTTCTGTAATAAATATGCTGTTCATTGCTTGCGGTGAGGAGTCAGCAAGCTCTTTAAGGCCCTGTAACAAGATTATGTGAAGTCAAAAGCAAGAGACATTATACAGGTTACTGATTTTAATCGAAACCATATGAAGTGAGAAGAAATATAAACCATAGAATACTAATAGGTGATGGACAATGGGCAGTAACACGACATATAAACCATGCACGTGGAAATCAATCCTTTTCAATCTGAAATCATAAAGGTTCAACCATATCCACACTGCTTCAAATTTGCAAAACTTGTTATTTCTACTCACAAAAATGATGAAAGGCACATATAATGCATCTGCAATAAAACAATCTATGTAGAGAAAGTAATAGCCTTGTGCTGAAGAGTCTATTCCAATTAAAGGAATGTTTTTGGTTTCACACATATCCAAGAAATCAACATGGGTACCAGCATCCAGGAGTAGTCCATGCAGTTGATGGAATAGGAAATGAATATCTTTCATAAAATGTTAAGAAAGTTATGATAAATTTTAAACAAAAGCTTTCCATTCCATTTTCCACTTGCAAGGAACGTTTCTTAATGGACTCCTTCCTCCGAATAAGAGACGAATACCATTTAACATTCATGAAAATTGAAATATAAACGCAAAATCACAGCAAGTGCATGAAAATGGCAAATACCAAGAAAGATACTTGGAAAAATACATCTAGTAAATCCAAGTTAGCGAAAGTACCATTAGACTAGGAATAGAGTTGCCCACGGTTTTAAGTTGTTCCTGCAGCAGGAAGTTAAGATTAGAAAAGTTATTGATAACCAACATCTAATAATGGTAAACAATCAAAGTGTCATATCACTTAAAAAAGGACAAGGAAGGTACGCTCATAGAGTATAAAATACCTAGGAATTGAAATACCAAGAAAACTTTTACAATTCCAAACTCTCAGGGGTAAGACCCCCCCCCCCCCCAAAAAAAAGCCCCAGTCTGGGGAATAACACTTTCATCATTTCCTTGTAGAGTGAGTTGCATTATCTTGTTCACTGCACCGCAGCAAAAAGAAATAATTGCTGAATCTTCAACTAGAGATCCTACTTTCAATAATTACTTGCAATTTCCATTTTAAAAGAAGCTTCCAGATCAACCAAAGATATTTCCTTTTTTACATGTCTATAAAAAACTGTACTATTTCCACTATCTTTTGTTCTTTGCTCTCCCAATGATTTCCCATAAAACATCTCATATATCAAAATCTCAATGCTGATTCAACTTTCGCGAAGCGATAAATAGTTTTTGGTCTATATAACGCAAAATTTCCATCTATCCCACCTTCACTCCAGGACCAAAATCAGAATTATAACGACAAACATCCAATTCTGTGGTTCTTTAGATCACAGTATAAATTTCCTAAGAGCATTTCTCTGCACTTCTAATACAAAAAACTTCAAGCAAATCCTATCATTTTCGGAGAATAAGTTTCCAGTCAACAACCAGCTTTGTCTAAATCTGGTTTGCTTTAAGAATAAGGATCCTTAATCCTATTCTGCTTCACTAGACATACCCACACTCTCCCCCATTCTATCCAATGCAGGGAGTGAAATAGAAGCATAAGAAGTCTATCTGTTAAAGCATAAAGCTGAGGAAGCATCATTTTAGTGAAAAAAGTTATTCTCATCAAGAATTCTACGAACCTGCAGTGTTTCAGGCATCTTCACCCTTTTCCCACTGATAAAATCGCACAGGTACATGACACCAGCATTTGTAAGGTTCTGTTATCAACAGTAAGTGCAGTTCTTAGTACTAAATATCTATTATGACACCTTGGAAAGTAGGCATTCATAAGAAGCTCCAGAAACCATACTTCAGACCTTGTTTCTTTTCCATTTTCTGGGCTAATTATAATAAAACAGAGTTAGTAGCCTAAAAGCTGAAATGGAGTTTTTTTTTCTTACCTGCTTGCCTTCCAAGGATAGTAACTTGCCATCCTACAATTCCAGATAGATTTGAGACAAAAGGTTTAGTGGACATAACATTAGGTGACAGATATTATTTATGTAATACACACGTAAATATATGTTAATATAGACGCGCAGAGTGACCAAGTGACCGGAACAGACAGTTACTTTTCCACTGTCTCTCCTCCCATGTGAAAGGCTTGTACTCCGCATAAATTTTTTTTAAAAAAAAAAAAAAAAAAAAAAAAAAAAAAAAAAAAAAAAAAAAAAAAAAAAAAAAAAAAAAAAAAAAAAAACCTTGCAATCACGCTATGCCAGAAAGCAGAACTCACCAGACCATAAACCAACCCTTTTAATTCATCCAAATCACAGTCAATCTTGGATAGATCACCACGCACACCATTAACCTGTTCCAGAACAAGGAAAACCTAATCATACCAACACTCCATATTTGTCGTTATAGCAGCAGATTTTGTGATTTTTAACTTTGAAAAGGCAAACTAGCAATATGATTCTCTTATTCTCATATACAATGGAAGGCAGGGATTTGACATTTCCACTATAGGAGAAACATATAAATAAAATAATGGAGCGCGGGCCATGAAATCAGATGACAAGTCTCATAAACAACTAAAGACAACAATTGAGGTGAGTAGATTTGCACCTCATTCCTTAATAGTTTTGACATCTCCATTTGCTCATCCAATTTCCCATCCACGTTCTCAATTCGCTGTGTCAAATGCTTCTTTGTGGCCTGATTAAAGGACAAAAGAGAACAATATGAAATGATTGAATTATCAATACATTATACATAAGTACAAACGCACATCTATAACATTTAGAAACAACTCTGAATGCCAATACAATTTATTCATTTGAAATATGTCAAAGTTGTAGCCTGGAAGAAGCTATGTAATTTCTGACATACATTTATCAAAAGTAAATCTCTATCGGTTTCACAGGATGCGGAAAAGTAGCAGGATCCTTAATAACCAACTGATACTAGCATGAATATGAGGCTTCCCTCAATTTTAGCCCCCTTTCTTGTAAATAAAATCGTCGCCGGGCTCTTAGAAACAAGTCAAGAATAAAAGAGATACATCATCCGTACACTCAAACGCACATCACCCTTGAAGAGGACCATAGACTTGATGACCCAAATCAGCTTAAGAAACTTACACCTGTGTATAGTTGGAATAATCTTCACATTGACCGTACTAAAATTTCATTGCCCACTTCGTAGCCTTGAACTTACTGTTTCCTGCAGACAGCTGCTACGTACTCTCTCTCACAACAAATTCCAACTAATCAGAATAAGCTACAGTGACAGCATCTGTAAGCAAGAACTTCGTACTGCAAGTGTGTCCATACTAAGCTACACAGCAATAACAACAACAACAAACCCCGTGTATTCCGACAGTGTGAAACTAAGCTAATTTGTCCATAATTTATATTATCAATTGAAGCCCAACCATGACAGCTGAAATTAATCACTCCCTGGAGATTCAAAAATCTTGCAGAAAAGGGGGTTCCTAGAAGCAGGTACAAGTATCACATATTGCCATGATGCAGAGAAGCAGCAACTAACAAACAACGCATGTGCAAACCCGGATAGGCCAGTCCAATAATCTCCAATATAACTATGTGTACTCTACCTATGATCTGATTTAAATGCCAAAGAATTGAAAGGTTAAGTTTCAGTAATTAGACCTGAAATTGACAGGTCAAACATTTAAGCTGAGATGTAGGGCACATCAATCCAGCTAGGTTACCAGTTACGCCAAGGCTCCCCTTCAAACACTAAACAATTGATATTTTACTTAATCATAAAAGAAATTTCCAATTTCTTTGTCTATATATTTGTTATTCAGGCTTACAATTATAAGTCTTAGACTACATATACATATTTGCATTTTTTCTTCATATGCGCCTTTCTTCATTAAAGCCCACACTTTATTTGCGCTTTACGCTTAAAACCCCTGTTGACCTTAAAGATTTTTTGTGCTTTGCGCCTTTGATAACACTGGGGCTTGCTCCCCCTCCTCTCCACCTCCTCCACCCGAAGTCATTTAAATTCAGAAAAACACAAACACACCAATTGAATTTGGGAAAGAGGGTTTCTGGCCAACATCAAGAGTCCTGGGGAAGTAAGGGCTCGTTTGGTATGAGAGATAAGGAATAATTAATCCCGGGACTAAATTTAAGAAGAGTTTATCCCATGTTTGGTTGAGAAAAAATTGCGGTATAATTAATCCCGGGATTAGTTATCCCGGTATTGTAGTGTTTTTTTATCCCCATGGAAAGGTGGAATAATTAATCACGGGATAACTAATGCCGAGATAATTAATCCTGGGATAACTTCTTTCCAACCAAACGACCCCTAAGGGTTTCGGTAAAGCAGTAACAGTACACTATTTAGACATAAATAGCATCTATCAAGCATCAAGTTAAAAGTTGAATACATGGCAAGGCTTGGATCTGCCAAGAATGCAGAGAAAAAACTCATAAACAAACCATAGGTGTATAAGATAGATACTCACAGCAAGAGCATCTGAGACATGCTCCAGATGTTTTGTCAGATTTGACACAGCAGTTGCCATGTTCTTTTTCGTTACATACATAAGGTCCGAGAATGACAGACCCTGCAAGTATTACAAAAGAAAGAGGGGAAGAAAATGGAATAAAATTAGAGACGATGAGCGAAGGCAAGCATTTCATGAAATATTAAAAGTTAGGCAGAAATTTGGTGTCTCCTGCTTCCGTCTCTTATCTTTTATTCACTTACTTCTTCCTACAAGGCTTGTTATCTAAGATAAACCTGACTCCAGCTTACTGAATACATACAAAAACAAGCATATCGCTCCCCATGCCCCAACTTACTTGAAGCATATTTAAAATCTAATCAAATTTTCTTGAACCCTTCCTGCTTTTGAGAAAAAGAAACTTGAACCCTGGACTTAATGAACTCATACCAAAAGAATCAAAAGAAATACCCGGAAATTGATGTTTTACATACTTTCTAAATCTTTCACTTTTTTTTATCAAGTAAAGAACACTGATTCTCGCACTTAATTAAGTCTAAAAATATATTGTATTTCAATGCGATATTATTCAAACCTCCATGTAGTAATCATCAGGCTAGTGACAATCTCCTTTGAGATGGAGAATTAATAAATAAACAATCTAGAGGTTATTTCACCTTCCACCACATGTATCCATAACCTAAGGCACCCACTGCAGCAGCTGGCACTATCAGAGATGTCCAATTACCTGCCAGGGTAAATGGGATTAGGGAAAATCATTTAATATAAAGCAACTTCTTCCAAGTCAAAGGCAAGATAGACAAAATCTAGCATGAGAAGGCATCAGTTAGAGGATGGTAGAGCTACCGCTAGAACTTCCATTTAGAACAGTAATTGGTCGTGCCGAAGCCAACTGCCGAACCTCCATTGCCAACCTACGAACCTGTCAAAGCAACAAAAAAATCAATTTGAATCATGTTACCATGTAATAAATTACAAGCCCATATATAGTTGGTCTATACACAATAGCAGGACAACAGGTGATAACTTTTTTCTTTTGCCAAGTGGACTAGGGGAAACAACTTCATAATCTATTTCTGAAAAGAAGATTCACTGTGGATTTCAAATCTCATCTATACATTGACCGAAAAGATCCCATAGCAGAGGTGGCTGGGACGATGACATGCAGACAATCATCATCCTGCCCCTCACCACTAGCTTATCGTTTCTTGACCCATGAATAAGGGATCTTAAACACTGGTATTTCTTTTCAGCACATTTTACATAAATTTACGGTAAACTTATCTGTACCGTAACACCATAACAAATTACAAAACTACATCTCATGCCTAAGCAACAATGTCTAGATACTGTGTGCACCATCACCTTCCAGAGGGAGAGGCAAAGACCCAAATTAGACAACAAATGTTATTGACCCCTCCCCAAAGATGATAAGCAAAGGCAACTCCAAAAACACTTTAGATATCACTGGTAAAACTACACTTACACAATCATGAGAGGCAAAAGTGCAGAAAATAACCAAATTATTGCCGATTACCAAAGTTCTCATAGAAACTACATTGCAAAGTGATCCTGTCATTCTACTAAAAGAAAATTGAAATATAGAAATGAGAATGTATTCTCTGATGGTTGATTCTACATTGATAGAACAGATCACAGATTGATTGATCATCTAAAAAGTATATTACTACTTACTTAGTAGAACATAAGCAATCTTGACAAGACCAAGCCTTCTTAATTTAAGCTAATTATTATCTGGGTACCTGTGCAGCAATGACATCCGATTCTCCACCATCTGACTCCCCTGATTTTTCATAACTTCTTACCAAATTCTGCCAGAAACGTTGAGAAGAAACGCTTAAGCTCATCACACGTGAAAACAATTAAGAAATGGTTTGCAAATTGACAAATAAATCCACCCTTGTTACAATTTGTCACAGGACTCCTCAGACCTTTATTCAAATAACACCATAGTATGCAACCCAACCTTCAAAACTTATTCCATCATTGCAGTTTTAGTTAATTAAGTAGCTCATGATCATTAGTTGACTGTGGCACCGCTAACTTTCAAAGGCATACTATAGCTTCATCTAGTTTTGTTTTCACTCTCATTGAAACCATCTACTTTGAGATGGGAATTAATGGAACAGAAATTAAATCACTATGTGGTTGAAGCATTTTACCCATCAGCATTAGTGATCCCAATGAGATCATTCATTGCATTATCGTTCACAAAAAAGCTCATACTCACTAGTTGACTAAGGCACCTCTAACTTTCACATGCATACTAAATAACTTGCCTTGGTTTTCACTCTTATTCAACTGTCTGTTTAAAAATTGATATTACTAGAATATAAATTGAGCCATTACGCGATTAAAGAACTATAACCCTTGGCGATAGTTGATTTCGATTTCAATTACCCGGTCCAAGCTCATTGAACACACAACACACACAGAGGCGGAACCAGGATTTGAAACTTAGGGATTTGGGATACTAGTACTTCTATATTACTGGGTTCTAAACTAATAATTTATACATACAACAACAACAAAAAACCCAGTGTAATCCCACAAGTGGGGTTCAATAAAAGCAAAGACAGAGCATTGTTAAAAAGAAATAAAATGATGGATACAATTTCAATGAATTTATACATATTCAATAAATTTCTTAAGACAAGGTTTGGACCAAAGCTACTAGGAGCAACCAAACAGGGCTAGCTCCGCCCCCTGCACACACACACACATACAAGTGCGCACTCGCACAAACAACAATATATACATGTACAATCTCTTAACAGAATTTAATAACACAAAGCAAATCGGAACTAACCTGAAGCTCGCCTATCACATCAGATAATTTACCGTTTTTGAAAAGCAAAGTACCTGTATACCCTAATATGCACACAACACACATATATTATCAGATCAAATTACTAAAATCAATCACAAACAAAATTAGCAAAAGTCTCAACAAAAAACAAATAGCCGAAGAACAAGAGTGTGTGTGTGTGTGTGTATACCAGCTCCGACGATAAATACGATCTTAGTTAAGCCTACTCCAGCTTGCATAGCCATGGCCGGCGATGGTCCGGTGATCAACAAATCCTCGGTCTTTTTATGACTCTCCGGCGAGTGATTTCGGAGTTCAAATGCAAAAAGTGTGAATATGGAGCTATATCTGGTATTTATATGCCTATATTACCCTTTCGCGACTTGTGTGAATTCGTCCACGTCAACCGTGTGGCACGTTAATGTTTTTTTAATTTAAATAATTGCACGTTAATGTTTTACTTCTTCCCTTTTTTGTCTCGTTCTATTTTTGGAGTTTTTAATTTTTTAAAGATTTAATTTTTTTGAGTTATAATTTTTACAAGCAGAGGCTGATTATCTATATATCTCTTCTCTATATATATTAAAGGAATAAAGTTACCATATATAATTTGCATTGTGATTAAGCCAAATAGCATACTAAGAAAAAGGCACTTGGCATTTTAGGATAAAATATTGGGAAAAACTTAATGAGAATCTATATAAAGAATTCGAATTGATAATCTAAATCTAATCAAATAAGTTTTGCCAGGGAAATAATATAAAAAGAGAGGGTGGGGATAGTGTGAGAAAACTTATACTTTGAGTAATATAAAAATAAAATAAAGATACTAAATAAATAATAATAAAAAATATTATTAATAAATTTAAACATTAATTTGAGCTATAGAATATAAGAACACAATAATATTAGATGAACATTTTTATTACAAGAAAAAGAAAAACCAAAGTCATTGTTATAATAAGAGTAGACCCAGATAGCAACAATTCTAAATTATGGGTAACTTAATAACATAGACAAGAAACCAAAAAATGGGAGAAAAAAATATGTAAATTAAAAATTTCAGTGTTGAGATATATAAAAGGATATGACTTATTTGATCTTTGAGATGAGAATTTTTTTTTAAAATAATTCATATGGTCATGCTATAAAGATAAGATCACGTAACTGAAAATGTTATAATAGATAAAACTAAAACAAAAAATATAGACAATTGACATAATTTTAAGAAACAACTAAAAATACAAACAAATAATATAAAATTTAATGTAGTAATTTTAAATCAAAAAGTAAAAGTCAACTTTCATACTAAATACAAAAAGGAAGGAGAATTTAATTTAATTGCTTATTGAAAGTGATACTAAAATAATAATTATAACAACAAACAAACTTCTTTGTTTAAACTTTGAACTTATTCAACACCAAGCACTTAGAAAATGATATAACAATATTCATATTATAGATAAATGCTAAATTAAAAAAGTTAAAATATTATAGAACAAAACTAATGTATAAAGAGAAAAATAGAGATAATATGATTTTATCCATATTTTAAATTTATTTGACAAAAATAAGTAAATAAATAATACTCAAAATGTCACGACCCAATTTCACCTATAGGTCGTAATGGCGCTAAACATCACCGCTAGGCAAGCCAACTAGTGAATTAAACATGCATTTCTTCTTTTAATAAGTTTCCGAGTAATTTAACTTTCCTCATTTGTAAGATTTAAGAAAATAAAAGGTTTAAATAGATAAAATCAAGTAATGGTTCAAAACCACAATTCTACTAGTATGTGTGCCAAGACCTGGTGTCACAAGTATATGAGCATCTAGTAGATTATACAAACTTCTAACCACTGTCTGAATATGAAATTGACAGAATACAAAAAAATACAAGAGAGAGAGAGAGAGACTCTAGGGCTGCAGATCGACTCAGGAAGCAGCTCACCACTAGGTCTCAGGATATCGGGGGTACGCGCCGGAAGGACCACCTGAAGCACCTGTCTCAGATCCTGCACAAAAGTGCAGCAAGTGTAGTGTGAGTACGTAAACAATGTGTACCCAGTAAGTATCAAGGCTAATCTCGAAAAAGTAATGACGAGAGGTCGACTTCGTCACTCACTATGGGTCAATAATATAAAGACAAAGATATTTAAATAAACATGATTTATGTGAATAACAATAATTTCCTTAACAAGCAGAAATAAATAATTCTTTCATAATTTAATAATTTTCAATAAATCGCTTATCTTCACAAGTTGCAATAAAATGTCAAAGTATCGTGTAATTATTATTATTAAGCATGATTTATACCGAAGTCGTACGGCCCGATCCAGAGTGTCGTGCACACTGTCGAGGGACGTGCGACACGATCCATAGATGCATCTATCTACTGCCGAGGCTTTCGGCCCTCTCCACAAGAAGAGAAGGTTATTTTATAAGTATTTGATTTAAACATTATTAATGATTTATATCTAAGATAATACAAATTTCATTAACTACTTTTTAAATTTTTCTATCAAGTTCTAATATAATTTAGGTATTTTAATTTAACAAGTATAGTGTAAAATTCCAAATAGTTCATAAATTGGGTCCTAATACTACCTCAAACAATAGCATAATAGTAGCTACGAACGGACTCTCGTCACCTCGTACGTACGTAGCCCCCACAATGAGAAATAAATATTTATTTAAAATACCTATGGGGTAAATTTCCTCTTACAAGGTTAGACAAGAGACTTACCTCGTCTCAAAGTTCACTTTCCGATCACAATTCCGCGTTAAAGCCTCAATTGGTGCCGAAAAATCCGAAACTATCCAAATGTTATATAATTTAATCAATAAATACTCAAAATTTCATAATTTATTTATTAGAGTAATTACTCGACCCAAATTGATAAAATTCCTAAAATTCACCCCAGGCCTACGTGCCCGGATTCTAGAAAGTTTCGGAGAAAATCATCACCCATAACCTCAAGAACTCAAATATAAAATTTTCATCCCATTCCATAACCATTTTCGTGATTAAAATCTCATTTTTATCAAAACCTAGGTTTTTCATCTATACCCTTGATTTCTAAAATTTACATATTATAATCTACTCATAATCTATGTATTTAACTCACAATAAGTAGAATTAACTTACCTCCAAATTGCTAGGTGAACACCCCTCTCAAGAAGCTCCAAAATCACCCAAGAATGAAAAAATGGGCTCAAATGTTTTAAGACATTCTGTCCGTCACAATAAAATCCTTCTTCGCGAACGCGGTTAGTACCTCGCGTTCGCGAAGGCAAAATTTCCCAGGCCATGAAAATGCCCTTCGTGAACGCGACAGGGGTCTCGCGAATGCGAAGGCTTACTTGGCCTACCCTTCGCGAACGCGTGAGATCCTCCGCAAACGCGAAAGGTAAAATATGCTGCCCCTCCCAAGCCTCGTCCTTCTATGTGAACGCGTAGGCCTGGGATCCCTAAGCTTCGCAAATGCGACCCCCTTCCCGCGAACGTGAAGGGTAACTACACAGCTCCCCAAATCCTTTATCGCGAACGCGAGAGTCCTTCCGCGTTCGCGAAGAAGGAAACCAGAACTGGAAAATTTAGTTTTTCCAACATTGCTCTGGGCGGTCCGAAACTCACCCGAGCCACTCGAAACCCCGTCCAAATGCACCAACAAGTCTGTAAACATAATACAGACCTGCTCGAACTCTCAAAACTCATAAATCAACAACGAAACCAAGAATCGCACCCCAAAACCTAATTGAATCAAAATATGAACTTCAAGTTTTCAATTTGCTCCGAAAGCGCCGAATAATACTTAGACTACTCGGAATGACACCAAAATTTGCGTGCAAGTCTTAAATCACCATACGAAACTATTCCCAGACTCTGAATTCCAAACGGCCCTCAATTACTCCAAAACCTACTCCAAACCAAATTTAAAAAACTTTAAAACCTTCAAAGAGTCAACTTTCACTATTATGCGTTGAAACGCTTCCGGGTCATCCAAAAGCCGATCCGAACATACGCCCAAGTCCAAAATCACCATACAAACCTATTGGAACCGTCAAATCCTGATTCCAAGGTCGTTTACTCAAAATGTTGACCGAAGTTAAACTTACCCCTTTTTAAAGCCAACTAAAGAACCAAGTGTTCCGATTTCAACCTGAACCCTTCCAATTCCTGAACTAACCATCCTTGCAAGTCATAAAAGAGTAAAAGCACATATGGGGAGTCTTATTTAGGGGAACAAGGTTCTAGATGGCAAAACGACAGATTGGGTCGTTACATTCTCCACCTCTGAAATAAACGTTTGTCCTCGAACGAGTTTAGAATCATACCTGGAGTGCTGAATAAGTATGGATATCTGCTCTGCATGTCCTCCTCGGTCTCCCAAGTCGCTTCCTCGACTGGTTGGCCCCTCCACTGAACTTTTACCATAGAAATCTTCTCGGATCTCAATTAGCGAACCTGCCTATCAACAATGGCAATTGGTTCTGCTTCATAACCCAAGCTCTCATCTAGCTGAATTGTGCTGAAGTCTAACATATGTGACAGGTCGGCATGATACCTCCGGAGCATAGATACATGGAAAACCAGATGAACTCCTGATATACTGGGAGGTAAAGCAAGCTCGTAAGCAACCTCTTAAACTCGTCTCAATACCTCAAATAGGCCTATAAACCTTGGACTCAACTTGCCTTTCTTCCCGAATCTCATGATTCCCTTTATCGACGAAACCTTCAAGAGAACTTTCTCACCCACCATAAATGATAAATCACGTGCTTTTTGTTTCGCGTAACTCTTCTGTCTGGACTGTGTTATACGAAGTCGCTCCTGAATTATATTTACCTTGTCCAAGACATCCTTCACCAAATCAGTAATATACAACTTAGGCTCACCGGGCTCAAAGCATCCGATGGGCGAACGACATCGCCGACCATATAAAACCTCAAATGGAGCCATCTCGATGCTGGATTGGTAACTGTTATTATAAGCAAACTCGTACAAAGGAAAGAAACGATCTCACTGACCTCCGAAGTCAATCACACATGCTCTGAGCATGTCCTCCAAGATCTGAACTATCCGCTCTGACTGCCCGTCGGTCTGCGGGTGGAAAGTTGTGCTGAGCTCTATACGGGTCCCCAACTCACTCTATACTACTCTCCAGAAATGCGAAGTAAACTGAGGGCCTCTATCTGATATAATAGAAATTGGCATACCATGCAACCGAACTATCTCCTGATATAGATTTAGGCCAACCTCTATGAAGTATACGTAGTCACAATCGGAATGAAGTGTGCCGACTTGGTCAACCTG